TTTATCTAATTTAATTTTTATTTATCATAATTATTTATTAATTAAATTTTAATATCTTTTTAAAACAATTTATCAATAAATAAATAAAATATTGTGCTACAATATAAATTATTTATCAAAAATTTAAAATATAATTTATATATTCAAATATAATATTTATATGCATATATATATATATAATTTATTATAAATTTTTTAAATATAATAAAATTTAGACTGTACATGCACAAACTAAAATACTAGTTATAATTAATTCTAGAAGTTATTGAATATGTATTGTAGTTTCTGCTGTTAATTTTCTAGTTATATCATCTGAATACTTGACTTAATCACATTTTTAGTCCTCATATTTTAGTATATGTATAATTTTTTTTAATTATTCATGTTTAGTTTTTGTGATTTTCTTATCATTTCAAAATAAGTCTTTCAACCCCAAAATTTCATTTAATAATTATAAAAAATGTATCAGAAGTGAAATGTATAATTGATTTTACTTTATTTCATGAAAAAATTCATGCGTTTTTCATTAAATTTACGTCATAAAATACAATTTTTCCTTCGCATAGTATTGCATCAGAAAGTACGTCTAATGTTTATTTTATATTTCGTTTCATTTCAATATACTTGACATTGAAATTTTTATACACAAATAAGGAAGACTGGCAGATTTAACCTCACGTCATGTCTCAATTTGACCTTAAATAAGCGTACATTATCAACCTCTCCAACTTTCAAATACATGCCTATAAATTTAGGGAGTTGTTTGTCCATGTCCATGAATAATTCATGTCCCTTATTTTTTTGACATTAAAGAATTCTGACGTGGCAACATGAATTGTTTGAAGAAGAAAGAGTTATTTCCTCGAGTAACTGTTCCTTACCAAATTTTAAGCAGATTTTATTGAATATATTTAAGAACGTTTCGAAAATAATAATGATAAAAATTAATTTCATATAATATTTATGTATTTATTATTACTTTATTTTATTTTTAATATTTACTTATTGTAAATGATTAGAAATAATATCCTTTTTAATAAAAATTTAAATTTAGTTCATACAAAAAAAAGATTATAAGGGACCAAAATAAGGTTTTAGCCTAATTTTTTATTATCGATTTGTTGAGAGGTAAAAGTTTACTATTTCATTTTATTGAAAATGATCCATTTAATTTTGAATTCTTATATATGTATATTTTATAATTTAAAACGTAAAAGTAAATGGAATCTTTTATTCAATGTATATTGATATTAATTTTTTTAGTTTTATTAAAAATACAGTTGCAACGAATGTGAATATAAAATCGTTTTTAAAAAAATTAATTTAATAGATACTAAATTTAAAAATATTTATGGTTGTCATTTAAATTTAATAAATTTAAATTTGTATAGTTTGATAAATCTTTTAATAATATTTTTAAAGAAAAATTTATATAAGAAATTATTTAATTATTTTAACATTATATAAAGAAATAAAATATTCTATAATCGATTAGTTATTCAACATATATAAGATGACTTTTGAATATTATTTAATTATTTATAGTAAAAATTATTTACTTAATTTTAAAGATAATTTTATAAATTAATATGTTTATTTATATGAATATTTTAATAATTTTGTTTGGAGTATTAAACTTTAATAAATACCATTTTAAATGGATGTTTTAATTATAATGGATTTTTTTATAAAAATGTTTAATTGAATGACAAAATAAATCTACTCCAACATTAACTAAGGACCTAAAGTAGACTCAATAAATCCACTCCAAGAGTTTCATGCCTACTTAAGGAGGGTTTTCAACAAATGGCCTCCCAAAGTATCATAAAAATATTTTCTAAATGGGATATTCAACTTTTTTAAATCAACATCCTCTCCTCAAGTCCTAAGTCAATCGACATGCTTTAATACCTGTAATATTCTCAATATCAACACTCATAATCTATATAATTATCCTTGGTCAATGAATATAAAGATCAAATTGCATTAATCATGCATAACATACTAATGCTTAACAATTCATTCAAGTATAGCATATCAATGCTCATCAACAATTTAATCATTCAAACATCTACATATATTATCCTATATCAATATATATATATATATATATATATATATATATACACACACACACAACTAGCATCATCATGCAACAAATTCAAACATTATATTCATGTTCACCTTTCAACTTACAAAACAACAAGTTTTCAAAACAACTCATGCTTGACATCACATAACCTGCGTTTGACATCATTGAGGTAGAAAACTCTTTGCCTCGCTCATGCCCATCGCCACTAAACCAACACTCATTTCAAGCATAGAACCTTTGCCTGATCCATGATTGATGTCTCCTCATTGGTGCCCAACGTCGTCTTGGCAAAGATTCTTTACCTTGATCGCACTTGGCACCATCCATCTAGGTCTAATGTCACCAAGTTAGAGCCCTTCTAGGAGTCTCATGCCCAATGCCATTCAATTCATGACAAGTTTTTCTCCTCACACTCGACACCATCACTTATACACCTAACGTGAATCAAGATAGAGGCCTCTGGTTAGAATAATGCCCAACACCATGGATCGTGCTCGACATGACTGAGATTTCTACATGCATGTAGATCGCAAATTCACCCTTAACCACTTGAAAATCAAACAACACAAGAATACAACACCAGAATCCATCCATACACACCACATAAAGTATTCCTCATCCAAATAACAACATGCAACACCAAATCATTCAGAATCATCAAAATCACCTTCATAGCTCAAGAATGCCAAAACTCACTGCTTCCATCATTCAATCCGATTTTAAACCAAATACATGCTCACATTTGATGAAAACAACAACAAGAAATTCAATCAATAATTAAATCGTAGCTACCCTTATCTCCAATAGTCTCACAATCCAAGAGAGAAGAGGAAGAAGAAGAAGCTTTCTAAGCTTTGAGAAACTCTACATCAAAGTAAATCCTCAACTTTAGCAGCTTCAAATTGCTACACCACTGATCAACAAGGATCTTCTACTACCTCGGGAATCTAGAAGGAAGAATAATAAGGATTAGCTTTAGAGCTCCTCTCTATAGGTTCTCCTTAAGATTCTTTGAGAATTAGATTATGAAGCATGAATCTTAAAAGAAACTTTAAATACCTTATTTCACAGGGTCAACTAGACCTCTAACTAGAGAAACCCTCCAAACACTTTAACAACTCTATAAGAGTTCCTTAACCCCTTAGAGTCTCTCAACCGCACATCAAGCATCACACATGCAATTACTTGTAAATACAAAAAAATAATGAAACAGAACTTACAATATTACAATTTTGATCCCTATATTTTTTATTCATAATTTTAGTCCTCAACTTTCTATAATTTGTAACTTTGGTTCCCTCACCACATATAGACCTGCTAATTATTAAATTGTAACGTTTGTCGTGAGCTAACTTTAAATAGATAACATGATAACTAAAATTTAAACTAAATTATATTTTTAGTTTTCATTTTCATCTTATTTTATCGCTTTTATGACTTTAGAATGAGAACTAAAAGAGAATTTTTATTTAAATATTATTAAATATTAAATATTATATTATTAATTAAATTTCATCATAATTGACATTATAATTTTAATGATTAATGAATAAATATTCAATAAATGAACCAAATAAGTAAATTTTGTAAAATTAAGGGACTAAAATTGTGAAAATAAAAATAGAAAGATAGAAGTGCAAATTTTATATTATAGAGATCAAAAGTACAATTTAACCAATAATTTAGTACACAAAAAATAATAAATAAATTATAATTTTTAAATCAACATTATTTTCTAATTAAATAAATTATAGAATATCCACGGTAAAGTTGTACTGAAAAATACACTGCAGAATTTATAAAAAAATTGTTTTTCAAATATTAAATCATTTGATGTATTCACAATAATAATAATAATAATAATAATAATAATAATAATAAAAGAATGAGAAGATAGAGAACGTAATCGAAAAATAAATTTTATCCATGTTCTAACCTCAGATGCAATGCACATTAAAGGTATAAAACAAATATTTATTTATATTATTAATATGAAAAACGTGTATTCAAAAAACCTATAAAATGTACAAACGTTAAAGAATACTATCATGAAAAAGGCACACTGTGCCTACACTATATTAAAAAATAATAATTATGAGCAATTATTTATAAATAATTTTAAAATATAAATATAAATTTTATAATACAATAAGTAAAGTAAAGAAAAAGAGATATTAATGCATGAAAAATAGTTTTAAAAATTTATAAAAAAATGAATAAAAATTAAAACGATCCATACTAAAATGAAAATAAAAAATAATTATTGAAAGAAGTTTTCTCTTTATATAATGATATAGATAATATGAATATTTACAAATACAAAACTATCAAAGAAAGCAGATCCACCAAAATTGTCCAACATAATTTGCAGATGGCTAAATTTCTTAAGCATATGAAGAAAGCTTCTTTAAGAGAGATGAAGTCCACTTTAAGCATCACTATGTAGCGATCTCTAGGCTTGAAAGAGATTATTTTGTGGCTGTTTGATTAGTTTCCCTTCGTTCAAAAGACAAACAAAACCATAAGAAACTTCTGCTGCATGTGGCTTAAGATATATATGACAATATTTGTCATATAACAAATACACACAAATTATGAAAAGGTTTGAATTTTGTTAATTTTACATGTTACTATTAGTTTCAAATTCTTGTCCCGACCATTTCCGCAATCGTTCTGATGCTTGCTCAACCTGAAATTTAATCTTAATTAGGAATCAAAAGTAGAAGATCCAATATACAATTGTATTTGCTTGAGCTTTTTTTTTTTTTTTTTTTTTTTTTCCCTTGCCATAACTTTAAGCATTAAATACGATTTTTTAGTCAATTATTTTAGTTGATGAAATATTAATTTCATGACTACCCAGAAAAGCATTGATTCTCACCTCCTTGTTCCAGTTTGTTCTGTAGACAATGAGCAACAAGATGGTAGTTTGCAACGCTGTACCACAGATCATTCCAACCCAAATACCCTGAAACAACACTTTCCATCGTCAATTCAGTCTCTAATATTACTAAACAAGTCAATTTAGTTCCTTAAGTTGACAACCCCTAAGTTGATTTGGCCCTAATGATAAGAATCAAAATTGGCTAATATACATAAAAGCCAAAACTAATTTGAATGATAATGGTTGAAGTAAAATATCAAACTAGTTGTGTTCAACATGTATGCACTTTTTCCTTTTGACTTTAACTAATATGACTTTTAAATTGTTATTATAAAAGTAAATATATATCATATAACGGTTTCTTATTATATGATTTTAGTAAAAACTTTTACATTGTTAAGAATCTTATCATTTATTTATTAGTTTTAGGTAATTTCGAAAGTCAAGAAAAAATTTGAACGGATCAAATGGGCTAGTGATTCTAATTTTAGGGTTTAGAGGGGGGAGGTAGGGGATTTCAATGGAGGGACAGGGAGTTGCCTCTTTTCTTGTTTAGTATATGAAGGGAGAAGAATTTCAAAAACTAATTTATCTTCCTATAATTTTAAATTTAAAAATATATAAAAATATTTTAGATATTATATTGAAAATATTTTTAAATCCTTCATTTCCTTCCAAATATTGTAGGAGAGAAAATTAGATGAAAAATAATTTTACTTACAAAAACTCCTCATCCCAAAGAAAAATAAAATCAAAATAAATAAATTATATAGACACTTAATGAGATTTTGTGAAATTACATACAGATTGCTTACTTTCTTTAGTTAGAGAAAGTAATCTACTCAAATAAAATTACTTTTTTTTTCCCTCATCAATTTAATGATGAGATTGTCTAGTTTTTTATTTGAGTGATAATGGTGAACTTTACCTTCACTCTATAACCCAACTTGTAACCAAAAATGATACCAAGAGGGAGTCCGATGATATAATAACAGAATAGATTGATGTAAGCTACCAAAGCCTGCCAACCTCCTCCAACAGCAACACCTGCAAGAACATAGAAGCAATATTTCATGATTTGGCTATTTCTATTACATAATAATTAATATCATACAAGTTATTGGATCCTCTTACCTGATATTACCGGCTGAATACTATTCAGAACCATGGTTACTCCAAGAAGGCCTGCTAATTTAGAAACTGCTTTCATCATGTCTTTACTTTTAGTGAAAATGATAGCAAAATGATCTTTTGTGATTAAAATAATGGCTGCACAAATTATTCCAATGATGAGGGACTCAACAACTGTGACAATGACAGAATATTTTGCTGCTCTTGGCCGTCCTGATCCAAGCTCATTGGAAACTCTCACACTGACAAAATAAAAAATCATTCAAAAAAAGTTGTAAAATAATCTTCACACTGAGGTTTGGGGGGGTGGGATCAGTCATAAATGAAGAATTTACCTCACTGCTGCATTGATCCCTATAAATAACATACCTTCCCATCCATTGATATTCATGCTGAAAGAGGGAAAACATAACAAGTATGAAATCAGTACAAAGAGTATTTAAGAGAACAACCTAAGTAAAGAACATAACTAATGTTGTTCCATGTCATGGAGTTTGGCCACCTATAGATAAACGTACCAGTATGAATTTATAACTAAAAGAAAATAAGAAGGTGAAATGAATTAAACTTCCTTAATGAACATAAATGAATTTATGCATAATCTCAATCAGCTTTTGAAGAAGCTAAATAAAAAAGTTTCTATAGATTAACTTATTATCACTATGTATAAGTTAATTTTATTTTATAAAAGAGACTTAATTTATTTTATCTTTTTATTTTTTTTTATAAGTACTTCATGAGAAATTATTTCAATCAACCTTTGTAAAAGTATATCCATCATAATGCATGCAAAGAATCAGAATTACTTGGAGGAGGGTTAAAGGAAAGAAAAAGGAGGGATTCCATCATTTAATACACACCTATGTCAGAAGTATGAAAACCAAGAAGCATATGTTGAATATCACCCAAAACTTAGAACATTTGGGTTTAAAAAACGTTTTCTATTTTCATTTTTTTACCTTCACTTTTAGTTAAAACCAAAAAATAGGAAAGCTAGGAGATGCTTTCTCGTCTCTGTATCTGTTTTCATCAATTGATCAGGGAACAAACAAGTTTTAAAAAGTAAAAACTGTTTTTAAAAAAGGGTAAACAAACAAAGCTTTATTTATATAAACAATTAAAAAGGGCTTTATTTATCATTTTTTGTTTTCTCTATTTCTGATACAAATTTTTGAAATCAAAAAGCTGAAAAGAATTTGTTGAGTCCAAAGGGTAGTGTTAGTAAACTTCTTCAAAAATACTTTTAAGAGAGAAAAATAAAATAAATTTTTCTATAAATTAAAATACTAAAATTATTTTACATAGGAGTTAAAAATAAGATTATGAAGAAATTTATTTCATTGTTCTCTTTTATAAATATTTTTTGAAGAAGTTTATCCAAAAATGTCATCAAACGTGAGTGTATATGATCATACTATTACTTACCATATTGAAAGAGAACCAACAGCAATAACTGGATCTTCAAGGTGTCCAGTGAGAACAATCAAGATCATAAAATACCAAACCTCTAGGCAAAGCATGACTGCAGAAGCAATAGACAATTTCACAAATGACCAAAGATCATTGAAGGCCAACCATGAGAAGCCACTCCACCCATCCTTGCACCAACCCATAACATAGGCCGTTTGAGCCAAAGCAATGACCCAAGCTGTTGTGCAATATGCTGCAGCAGCACCAGTTGTACCCAAAGCACACACTTTCATTAGAATAAATAGAATCACAATGTGGAAAAGAAGGGCTCCAAAACCAAGCCATGCCAGGAACCCCACTTTGCTTTGTGCCTGCAAGAATTTTTGGGTGGGAAAATTGAGAGCTAGAGAAAACATCTGAGGGATTGATTGGAGGGTGAATACTCCAGCTAACTCTGCAATCTCACGTTCTTGTCCAAGAAGTATTAAGACTGGCTCAGCATAAATGTAAATTGGCAAGAGGCAGATGCATGCACCAAATAAGATTATCCAAGAACGTTGCATGTAAACCCCTAGCATTTCTACTTGTCCAGCACCATATGCTTGCCCACATAAAGTCTCTAGTGCACTTGCCATACCGAGCTGCAAATTTTATGTAAAAGTTCAAGACCCCATTAGCAAAAACAAGTTAATATAAAATTTGTTACGTGAAAATGACAAATTGTATTGCTTTGGACCTAAAAAGTGCATGTTTATATATACAAATGAAATTATTGACAAGGCAATGACTTAGGTTTTTTTTATAAACATTTTTGTAAACACTAATTAAAAAAGAAAATAAGGAAAAAAATGAAATAAGTTTTCCAAACTTTACAATCGAAATGTAAACACGAGAGATATGTGTTGAAAATCTCACATAATTTAGTGATATAATTATTATAGAGTATATAAATAGAAAATAATTCTCGACTTATAAACTAAATTTATAAAATTGAATTACATTCATAAGTTACATTTTAATAAAATAAGCTTATAAATAAGTTAAAAGCAAGCTTTTAGAGAAGTTAAATTGCACAACTTTTACAAAATAATTCATTTAGCTAGTAGGAGAAACTTATTTCAGTTTTTCTTCTACTAATGATCATAAATAAGTTTATCCAAACATAACCTTGTTAAAATAGACATCTTAACATATTGATATATTCAAGTATCAAATTATATAGACTTGCACTTTCAAGATCAAATGCAAAGTTACATAGGATACCACCAGATATTGGGGTTAACTACGGAAAAAAAAAAAAAAACTGCCACAAATGCAAAGATTTAGGCAAAGTCAAAGAACTGAATTAATTAAATTTTTAAAAAGGAGGAAATGTTTTGATTATTCAACACAAATATTTAATAACAAGTTCAACATAATGTTTTTGCCCAAAGCACATGGAATTGCTTGATTTGCTAATTGAGGTAAGTGAACATTTTGGCCAATTGGGAAGGTGTTCTTATAGTTTACCTAGAATAGAATATTGTCTAGTAACAAGTGCAAATCACATATTCATTCATGTGGGGGCGTTTATATAAGTTGGCTGTCAAAAAAGATAAAAACATCCATGCCATTCAAGAAGTCATGGAAAATAACCAAGCATGAATACTGTATAATCAGAAATAAACAAAAAGGTACTTCTAATCAGTTTTTAAGGCACCAGTTAAAGAATTAAAATGTAGAAAGTTTTCATTGAAAATTACACTAGTCATATAGAGAGTATGCATATACACTTTTCAATAAAAAACTTTTTAATTTTGATTCCGTAACGGGTGTCCTAACTTGTTAGCATTTTTTTTTAAAAATAAAAGCATGGGAAAAGAATCCAAGAGTTGATAGAAGTTAGAAGCTAACCAAGAAGCCAAAAGAGAAATTTGAAATGACTGAGAGAGAGATTGACACTGCAGAGAGTTCTACATTTCCAATGTGGCCAACAAAGATATTTGTGAAGGAATTGACAGCATAATTGCATAGTACACCAAAAGCAATGGGGCCACCAATTTCCCAAAGCTTTATGGATTCGAGAGTGAACACATTTTTTAAATCTCTAGTGTTAATTATAGCACTATAGTCTCCTACTTTTGTGTCAACTAGACCCTCGGGAGCATGGTGTAGCTCTGTTGTCTCCAAGGAATCGGGACCATCGAACAATGGTGTCTTTGTCTCACCCATTTTTGAGCCTTTCCTAGGAGAGCCTCCTTCAGAGGAGGATGAGCTACTGCTCTCTCCTCCATTATGTTCCTTCTTTTGTTTACCTATTTTGGCAAATTCTCTTTCAACCCTTTTTGCCCGAATGAAACAATAATTGCATGCAAAACTCAACTCAACTCAACTCATGCAAGGTGCCTTGAAAACATGAAGAAATTAAAGTGATCTTTATCAATGGTTTTTATTTTTCTCGTTTGTTGTTTCTTTGGTTGCATATAACACATGCAAGATTTTGTTGCCTATAATGTAGGCTTACCTTACAATGAAACCATCTAGACCAAGAAACTGATGAGAAGACCAGGTCTCCTTCATTCACCACCTGACAAAGAAATTAGCGTTATTTACTGTTTTTTTTCTCTCTCTTTACGTTGGCCAAAGATAGAATATTTGTGTATCATTCATCACATAAGTATACGGAAAACTGCTTTCTCCAAGGTTAGGAGTTAGGACTTAGGAGGACCTGGATTTTTTCTTTAATAGTCGTATCAAATACTATGCTTTCTTATACCTTTTCCTTTATTATTATCAATTTGTTACTTTCTTCTCTCTTTATTTATTTTTCATGAATTAGCTTCTCTCAAGATGAGTTACATTTCTTTAAAGTGTCTTAGTTGTTTGAGTAACTATTTCAATTAATTATTTCTTATATTATTTGAACTGTGTAAGTTATCATAATTATTAGGGTTAATAACGCACATATTAAACATATACGTTATTTTGTAAGAATATTTTTAAGAAATTTTTTTTGACAAGAGAATTTATAAGAAATTTTTTTAAATTTTTTATATAATTTAATTTTTATTTATCATAAATATTTATAAATTAAATATTAATATTTTAAAATAAATTTTCAATAAATAAAATTAATTTTGTGCTATAATATAAACTAATATTTTAGTCTATGTAATGTACAAGCCAAATATTTATTATATGTATTAAATTTCATAATTAATAAAATATACAAATAAATATTATGTTTGAATATATAAATCATATTTAAAATTTGTATAAATAAATAGTTTTAAATATATAAATTATACTTAAGAATTATGATAAATAATTTATCGTATAGTATAATACTATTTTTATTTATTGAAACTTATTTTAAAAATATTAAAAAAAAATTTGAGAGAAAAAAAATAGATAAAAAAGAATTAAAAGAAATCATAAAAGCTCTATTATAAAAGAAAAGTCTTTAAAAATTCTCTAGAGATTTGTGTTTATTATATTTGAGTTAACTAAAAATTTATAATAAATTATATATATATTATATTTGAATTTATAAATTATATTTAAAATTTATATATATAAATATTTTTAAATATATAAATAATATTTTAAATTTATGATAAATAATTTATATTATAATAAAAGATT